GGACAATTTTGGTACAAATAACAGGTTACATGACATTAAAAATTAAAGTTGAGAAAACACTTTTGGTACTTTATGAAGTTGAGGGACAATTTTGTAGAAATTTAAAAGTTGAGGGACCAAATTGGTGTTTTAATCTTAATAATTGAAAAAACAATTATAATGCAAACTATTCCTTAGCATATAGGCTAAATAGGAAATATAAATAAGTTAGGAAGGATCTCTAACAATAATATATAGAGTTAATTGTTTAATACAAATAGAAACAATTAGAAACCTCCAAATGTTTGTATACATGATAGGAGTATTAATAGAGTTATGTAATAATATTGAAAGATTACACTAGAGCTTATTGATGTTACTAACAATTACATTTATTTTACTACCCAAACCTAACATAGGAGATCATTAGATTTGGTAATATGGTGTCTCATAACACTACAATACTCTATCTATCCATAATTTTTTAACCAATAAACGGATGAAAAGTGTCTGTCTGTATGACCAGAGCAATGGCCCTAATACCATCAAACCCCTTAGGAACCATAGCCACCTATGTTATTTAAAATCACCTTATTAGCTCATTGTTCCTCCAAAATTATTGTACTATTTCTTTTTCCTTGATTTGGTTTGTCCACATGCACCAAGGGCCCTACCTCATGTCTTACTCTTTTCCATTTGCCCCTACCTCCTTTGGCACCATTCCCTTGACTTGTTGACTATTTAATACCACCAAACCCAAGGGCTAAAGGCACCTCCATTAATTGATCATCCGTTAAAGTCAGCAAAATGGCAGCATTTTCCACATTCATTATAGGAGGCTGAGTCGTTTCTATTGTAGTTCCTCTCATAGCAGTAGCATTGTCCCTCCCATTGGCTTGCTCTAATGGTCGCAAAATTATCCCTTATATATCTCTAATAGTAGCATCTTTGTGCCCCTCTATTTGGCTTGCTTTGTTAGCTATAGGCTCATTATGCTCATTGTTCCCTTTAGTCCTATCTCCATCTAGAAATTGAGTATTTACAAAGAAAGTTTCATGTAAAAAATAAAATTCATTTGGGCACTGTGAGTTTTCTAATTCAACTTTTAACCAAGATCCATATTGACAAACAATTTTGCCCCTGGCATCTTTTATGCAATGTGCTACTTCATAGTCATTTTCAAATTAGCCCATGCATCACAAACAAAATAGAACTTTGGAAGTATTTCATATTTGATCCAAAATTTCTTACTTTCTATAGCAGAAATCTAAAAAGTTTTAAATTTTCTTAGTGGCTTATTCACCTCCAAATCAATTCTAACTTTGATAGACTTACGAAAACTTTCATCTAACGCTAAAACCTTCCCCAAGGAACTACCAATCATGAATCCAATTTGTTCGAATTGCATACCAATAGGAACATCAAACATTCGAACCCATAATGGATTTGTAGAAAAACAACATTTCTCTACAGTTAAAGAGATTTGAAATCGTTTAAAAATAAGTAGTGAGTTGCTAAAATTCCAAGGTCCTCTATGTAAGGCTTTGTTGAGATCTCCAATATCAAAGAATTGAAATAGATAGGTCTTTTCCCTAATCTCAGAAATTTTAAAAACCTTCCAATGGTTCCATGAGACTATTAAAGCATTATAGAGACCATTTAGATTAATCCTTTTTTGGGAAAGGATCTTCCCCACTCAACGCAACTTTTCTACCTTGGAGTCTTCTAGTTTCCAAACTGAATGCCAGGGAAGCATGCCATCCTTATCCTCAGTGAGACGAACATGACTGAGCATGGGGATGAGTTCTTCATCTATCATTCTCATTTACACTAGGATAGTGGCAGTCAATAGCACAAAAGAGAACAAACCCTCAACCATCGCAACCATTAAAACTATCTACAACCACCCTAACAAATGACATAACACTTAGCAACCAATTTTTAATCGTTCCCTGGACCAAGAATACTTGAACCAAAGCAAAAGGAGAATCTTGAAAGGAAGGGAGTAAAGCAAAAGTAGCGGCTATATGCAATAGACAAGGGAGGAGCTCCTCAATTGGAGAGAATACCTGAAGGAGAAGCTCGTAGCCTTCAAAACCCTAACCGTAGAAGTTTTGAAGCATAGGAGTTTGGAGTACTTATCACTTTTGGTAGATCACTAGTTTAAAATATAGGTTTGGATCGAGAGAAATTAAGGGGGTAAAAACTAATTAAAAGAGATTTTCCTTCAATTTAATTAATGAATTTTTTTTTGAACAAATTATAATTTGGAAGCGATGGATTCGAACTCCAACCCTAAAAATTGGATGGTACACGTTTACAACAAGACATATAATTATTGGGTCACGAAAATCAAGTGCAATTTAATTAATGAAATTTGAAATGAAAAAGTATAAATATAGTGATTTAAGTACATACTTTTGCTCGGATCACACCATGAATATGTTTTTATGAAAATCAAACTCCATATATATATAGGATATGATCAGCTTTCTCAGTGAGAGCACACCTTAATTTCCTAAAAAATTGGAATGTCCTAACACTACGCTATACGTACACTAAGTACATTTCATGAATGACACACACATATAAATATATACACAGCTCTCACCAAATTAATTCATGTAAAGAATTACGTAATTAATAAAATAAAGTAGCGAAAATATCTTACTGACCCTGATTGCCGTGGTCACCCATAAGATTCTTGTCCATATTTTCCAATATTAAAAAAATTAAAATATGAAAAATTTCACCAAAGTAAAGGCTCTTTTCGATTCGATCGGTTGGTTAGGTGGGGAACAGGGGAAGTGCATGGGATATTTTCATCTTCGAGGCTTTAGCACGTGAAAGAACGTGCTTCCCCATCCACCACCGACAGTGTGTAACTGTGCATTGGTATTTATTAGTACATTTAACTAATGAGGATTATAATGTAATAATACTAATTAGGGAACGAAATAAACCCTTTTTCGGACGGGGCCCCATGTAGTTGGTGAGGATTAAAGACTGGATTAGCTAAATCATGAAAAGAAAATGAGACGGGACATATTTTCAAAGGGACACATGCAATACATTCATGCAAAACCAAAAGATAAAGGAAAAATCAAACTTATGATTCAATGAAAAAATCTTATATTAAATAAAAAAATAAAAAAAATTATGAATTAGATATAAAAATATTATTTTATGTATTATTAATTAATTTTAAATTAAATAAAAAATTTTATATTTAACTCACACGTACAATTTTTACCTTCCCCCACTACCCTTTGATTCCAACGTCTGCTTCTTTTCTCTTTTCCCTTTTTCCCCTGTGGTTTGGATTGAGACTTTTGACTATACTCTTGTTTTTATCTGACGTCCTCCTCCAACCTGTCAGATTTCACTACCTACCAATTCTAGCGTTGTAATAAAAACAGACCAAAATACTACTCCGCTGTCGGTGGTGGATGGAATATTATGTAAAAATATAGTTGAATGTGAATATAAGTCTTTAAATTTTAAATTTTGAATATTTTTAATTTTTAAATTATTTTTAAAATTTTTTTAGTTCTTAAGTTATAAATTTATATTTTTTAATCATTCTATCATTAGTTTGTTGAGTTTGTCTAAATTATTGAGTAAAAAAATCTCATATTAATAATATAACAAAAAAACTTATGAATTAAATACAAGAAAAGTTATTCTACCGATTATTAATTGATTTTAAATTAAATAAAAACCTTATATTGAAACTTATAAACACAATTTTTACATGATATTAGAGCTCAACTTT